TAGTGGGAATGATCAGGGCAAGACTCTTCCTTTTGCTTTCACCAGAAGTTAACCCCAGGCCTGTGACATTGAGACAGTTGTGATCTGTTTATAAAACTTGCTTCAGATGTAGTGCATCTTTGCAATAAAAGCATCCTCTTCCCAGCACAAACACTTATGTCCAAGTGTAGGAAGGGAAAGGATGAGCCAGGGAACTTCAGATTCTTCCCCAAGATGTAATCAGATTATTTCAGGGGAGGCAGAATCAGCAGCAGGACAGAGAGGGATCAGAACTTCCTAGCAGAGAGCCTGGAGGGTGAGGCTGCTGGCCCACCAAACATGACCTGTAATGTGATGGAAACTGATTCTATTAATAATCCCATTTCAGCAAGCCCTCAACCTAGGAAGACTGCTCTGAATCAGCAGTTTCTTTTATTTTGTTCGTTCCTGATTTAGTAACCCCAATTGCACAATCAGAGTCAATCTATTGCAGCAATCAGTGATGGTGCAGCAAGGAATGAAAGACAGAAGAAAGCAGGGTGGAAGGAGTAAGCACACGCAATGGCTGATCAAGCATGTTGGTACATGATCTCCGATGTCTTTGCATGGCCAAGACCCCCAGCACTACGTGCACAGGGAAATCTGTCACATGTTTATGGAGGCTGATATCCAGATAGAAACACACCATGACTTTCCCAGGCAGCCAGATGCTCACTTGAGTGACAGGAACGTGGCAGCACGCAGAGCTGCATGGGGCTACATCAACTGGAAGTAACAGGAAAATGAAGTTTGACCAGCTGTGTAGGCAACCACAACTGGTGGGCAAAGTTGGGTTCAATCATGACTTTGCTATGGATCTTCCTGAAATAGCTAAGTGGAGAACTGGATTTTGAACCCTGAAGCAGTACGGATCAGAACTGTCAAAATTGAGGGTCTCTACCTTTGCTTTTGCACCCATGCTACCTGGGCCATTGAGAATGGCATGGCCACAGCATGACCATGAGAGATGGGAAAGCATACACCTGAACTTCTTTCTCAGGGAGGAGGGCAGAAAGATCTCATTGCACCTTTTGCCTTTTAGAATTGTTTCTGAAAACTTCTTTTTAATACTTTTGAAGTAGAATGGATTTGCCTAGAAGTGTTTTTGAAAACATCTCTGCTGTAAATCTGCTCCCTGTGTGCACCTGAATCACATCCATCCCTAAACATCCACTTGGGAACACAAGTACAGTCATGCCCACCTCATCACCTGCACCAGCAAGAGTAGATGGCTTCAGGCTCACACAGAATAGTCAGCTGAACCACCCAAACCATCAGATATGGGCTGGATATGAGCCCCTACCCCAGTGGGGAAGATGCACAGGTAGTTACTATGGTCCAGCTGATCGGTGGTAACCTCTAGGGCCACCCTAATTCAAGGGGGTATCTGAGCTACTCACAATAAATTATCAAATTTCCCATGCAGTGTGTGGCAGAATATATGATAATGGAGGAATCCTCTTCCTCCCTGCTGGTGCCAAACCAGTTCACAGCTGCACAAGCACTTTTGAAAGGAGAACACAAAAGTGGATTTAAAAATCCCCACATATTTTTAATGTAAGCCTTTAAGAGACAGGTGCAGAACAGAAGGCTTCATTCTGTGCAGGGCTGTCAGGGTGTGGATTTCCAGCTCACTTCTATCTGAAGCTCACACTACACTTTCTTCCATGGCCACGCAAAGCACCGAGGACCCAGCAGCCACGCAGATGAGCACAGACCTACAGCCCAGGAGAAGGCCATGTGATGGGGACTGTCCTGAGCCTCCATCAGAGCAGCAGATGGCAGCGGCATCATGGGTGCAAAGGGCTCAGCCCAGTGCCTACCGAAGGCTTTCCCCTGCGAGCTTGGGTGAGTCATTTTGCTTTGCAAAATCAAAACAACCCTGGCAAAACTGGAGACCCCCATATGTCAAATACCACAGTGAGGTCTGCAGCCATAAGTTTTACAGGATGAGAGCAAAGAAGGGATGAGGTGGTAGGAACTGTGTGTGAGGGTGTGGAAAATCAGTCAGGGAGGAAGCAGAGTCCTGAAAAGAGCTTTGGAAAGTGGGCTGCAAGTGTCTCTGCTCCATTTTATCCAAAACCCATTTGGGCTTCAGCATCCCCATCCCACCATCATTTGCTTCTCTTCACAATTCCTCCTGATTCTTTCCCTCCCTGACCTACAGTTATATACCATCACTAAAGTGTCATCTTGGTGCAATTTACTGTGCTTTTCACTTGCATGCTGTACCTTCCTTCCCAGAGGATGGATCTCCAAGCTAACCTGGGATCTTCTTGGCTGCATAAGGAGGTTTATTTGTGTTAGAAGCAAAATGACTGCTCCATGCCCAACCCCAGCAAACTGCTCAGATGTTGAATAACTCAGGGCTCAATATCTTGCAGGATCCTACCCAAGGTTCCATGGACATGGTGTCCCCAAGTGAGTGCACAAAATCAGCTGAATATCTTAGCTGTGGGATTTTTTGAGGAACTGTTCAAATTACCACATCACAGTTCTCACAAGTTTATAAAAACTGAGTAGATAGGAAAAGCATATCAGAAAGCACATCAAATCAGGAGGCAGATAGGAAGTCCCTTCAGTTCTTTATTGTCCATAATCTGACAAGGCTTTAGGTTTGTCACAAGAAATTTATCATGAAAATTAAGGACAGATACGGGGAAGATGGAAATTCGAGTGATATGAACACTTTCAGCATTTCAGACAAGATTGGGTTTGCTTCAGCTGCTACCACAACCTTTCAGATCAGTGGTAAGGATTTTTTTTTATTTTTTAATTAAATGAATTGATATGGATTTTATCTTGTCTATTAAAAAGCAGTACACAAAAATGAGATATATTTGTACTGCCTATTAAATTCCTTTAATAATGATTTTGCTAATAAATTAACTTCCATAAAATGAGAAGTATATGAAAATGTCCTTTCTAGCCAAAAGCTGATGCTGAGAATCACAAAAAATTAGTTCTTTTCCTGTTTTAGAAAATGCCTAATTTCACTGAATAAAACTTTCATCTCTTAATAGTTGAGATACTGAAATCACCAGATCAAATAGAAAAATATAACTGTATGAATTTTTAGCTGAATATAAATATCTCATTGCTGACTAAACCATTCTATTGTAAAACTAATTAAACCATTGTACTCATTCAAAACCAAGACTTTAAGCTCCCCATTACATTACTTTGAAAAAACTCAATTAAAGACAACTCAGCAAATGTTTGAGGTAGGTATAAATATTTCTGATTTTTTTTCTCCCTAAAACCCAAAATTCAACAAAGAGGTTTATTTCTTCTACACTTGTTGGTGACAATTTGTTTAAAATGTTGCAGCTTGTTTTCATTTGTTCTGCAGTTCAATTTATTATTGATTTTTCATTTGTTTCAATGCATACATGATTCGTAGCTACAATTGCATGTATGTGTCGCTCTTGATGGAGAGGGCATTCAACTCTCTTTGACACCATGGGATATAAAAAAACAATGGAAAAAGAGAGTTTATTGGTGCAGAAATGGGAGAGCTACAGCATACTGTTATAGGCTGGGTTGGGTCGTGATGGAAGTGGGCTGGTTAAATTGGCTAAGGAAAAGATGGCCAAGTGAATCGCACTGAAAGCCTGGGTAAGAGGAAGGCATCCTGCCTTGCCTGCAGGGCATGGCAGCCTTGCAGAGGGACCTTGCTGCTCCCTGTCCCTGGAAAGTACTGCTAATTTATCGTGGCCAGGCCTTAAACAGCTGGAAGAGAATGGAGTTAGTAGCAGGAGTTATGTGAGATGATGTCTAGCCTACTTCTGTTGGGTTTTAGAGACTCGAATCCGAAGAAAGCCATCCACATGCTGTGCCTGGGCAGTCCTCGGCATTTACCTGCTGCTGCTGACGGCTGGCCAGGGTCTGCTGGCATACAAAGGTAAGGCTGCAACCTTACTGCAAGCTTGACATCAAAAGACAGCTTTTCTGGACATTGGCAACTGGGGATGAGCATGCAGATAGGAAACCTCTAAGGGAGCATGGTTGCTCCTCTTCACACAGGAAGTCAAAGCAGCTGCTGCAGGAAACCATTCCCCCACCCTATATATGTGCTTTGCATTTGCAAAAGCACTCCTGTCTGCACTCCTGTCTGCACTCCTGTCTGCAGCAAACACTGGCACATGAAAATCACCTCCCCAGGTCAAACAGTGGTGGTATTTATCCTTCAAGGTTGCCAAGGAGCTGCTGTGCCGAACAGGCATTTCCCAACCAGATCGGGCAGAAAATATTCACCTCATGGGCCTTTTGTTTCCTCAGTTTTTAAGATGCAGAGAGAGATACTGAAATTTCAAGAACGAAATACCTCCTCTACAGAAGAGATTGTTGAAAGCTCTTTTGCCAGCAAACTGCTTTTGGAGGGAAACTCCAGAGAGAAGCCCATGGGACATGAAGGAGAAGACTGGAGGCGAAGCATGGAAGAGGAAATCACTATAATTAAAAACAGCAATGCAAACCTGATGACGATGATGAACAACATTACCCTGGTTGCAGGTATAGCTCCATTTCTCCATGCTGGCTGTATAGTGGAGAAAGCTGGTTCTTCTGCACTACTGGAAAAGCTTGGCTAAAAACCTAGTTCAGATGAAGAAGCAACTGAGGCAAGATTTGGTCCTCTTGTCAACTGGTGATGTCCCAGTTCCCAGGGCTGGACACTGGCTTCAGATGCCTTGGGTGGGGATCTGGACACATGTGGCAAAGCTAGAGCACAGCCTTATGCAGCTTCCTTGGATCCTGCTGCAGCTGCACATGCAGTGTAGGGGTACTCCCCTCCTGAAACTTGTAGACCTGGGCTCTGGGTGTCCTCTGAAAGGGTAGTGTCCTCAGCTCAGACATCAAGCCTGTAAACCCCATACTGATATGTTCCACACTGAGTGATGACTACTGAAAGAGATCCATTTAATATTTATTTCAGGGCCTCCTGGACGCCAAGGATATCCTGGTCCACCAGGTATGTTGGTAAATGAGCCATAAACAACTTTTCCTCCTTCTCTTTTTTCCCCCAAGAGACCTGAAGTGAGTGTTTGGGTTTTCAGTCTCTAGACCAACATCCTACCCAATGCTCAGACACCAAGTGCCCTGGCCATAAGGAACCTCTTGCACCTTTTGAGTGATTCCCCAGCAGCCCAGCTTGCTCAAGTGCTGCCACAGAGGTTGGTGACCACCACAGAGGAACAACTCTGGCTCTGTCTCCTCACTACTACCCCACCAGAAAAGCTCAGGGGTTATCTGCAGTAATCATCTCAAATCTCCATGTGAGACAAGAGAGGACAGGTGAGGAGGTTATGTGCCTGTTGCAACCAGAGGATAGCTGGGTTTTTTGCTCCAGACATACCAAGTCCTGCTGTCCAGCTCACTTCAGGACAACTCAAGGAGACCCCCCTAATCCCTGTTCTGCAGGGCTACAGCTAAACGGTGTGTGTAACAGTGCCAGATTTGCGATCTTGCCCACTCATTCCCAGAGGAAATGACCACACAGACTCAGGAATGAGCTGGGTGTGAGTGCTCCCCTGCACAGCCACACATAAGCTGCTGCCCTGGTCACCTGGGGGTTTTGGGTAGAACTACACTCACTGCAGGAGATGAATATCTTCAGACTGTGAGGATGCCGCAAGTGCTAATCTAATATTGGCTCCACTTTGAGCAGAGGTTTGACTAGGAAATAGTTTCTGTGATCCAATGATAATGATCAGTGATGATGATCTAAGATGCAACCCTTGTTAGGTTAGGTCTGTATCTCATCCATCACTAGTTCTTGGCTACACTGATGAGGTTTTCCAAAGAAAAAAACCCAAACTAATAAAATTTTTAAAAATCATGTTTTCATATTTTTCTGGCTGTACTTACAACACTGAATCAGCACCTCCTGCCAAGCACCATTACTATATATCAGAACCCAAACAGTTCTGTGCATTTTCAGAAAAGATCTCCCCAAAGGTCCCCATGAGCTGGGCTTGGCTGGAGGACAGCTGGCCGCTGCCCAGCCATGCATTCAACCAAGATCCATGGTCTTTATTCAAGAGGTTGTTCTGCTCCTTGCCAGTTGAAGATTGGCCTCAGTGGTGACTGAAGCAGTGTGCACAAGTGATGATTAAAAAATTCATCTCTTCTTCTTAGCCATTACTGTGAACAGATGATGTGTGTCAGCTAATATATGTATTTTACTTCTCAGGGCTACGGGGACCACCAGGGATAAAGGGAGAACAAGGATTCCAAGGTAAGGCTTTTCTGACACCTGAATTACTTCTTTGGATGAATATAAAGTGGCCTTATGGATGATTTTATGGGCAATCTTCTCTTCAGTCAAGGTGGGAAAGTCAATGGGAATGTCATTGGAGTTGAAAGAAATAAGCATATGCAAAACTAATGAACATGGACAAAAGCAAAACTTAGCTAAAAAAAATCTTATTCTAGAAGTCAATGTGTACTGGTTATGGTGGGCCAGCTCTTCACTGCCACCAGCATCACTGTCAAGCAAACAGAGAGCAGAGTTTGGCTCGTGCCCACAGCTGAGCCACATGGCCTGCTGCTGACGTTCACTAGATACAACACCTGATGAAGCATTAAAAAAGTGGTGTTGTCCTCACAGGCTTACGTGGACTGCCGGGTGAGAAGGGGAGTAAAGGAGATCCTGGTGCTCCTGGCCCACGTGGTGAACCAGGAGTGGGAGGAGAGAAAGGAGAGATGGGTCTTGCAGGTAAGACATCTTCACTACCTCAGAATTTTTAAGATTCTTCTGTTTAAACTCATTCTACTTAAAACATCAGAAGAAGTCTTCATAGGTCAGCATTTTGTAAAAGTACAGGCAGCCCTGCTCAGTGAGGGAGCAGGACACAGGAACCTGATCTCAGGGGACTTCATTTCATATCAAACTTCAGCAAAGCTCCCAGAGGAGGGCTGGGGGAAGGGGGCATGAAAATTGTTGACTCTGTACCATGGAAGTCTCTTTGTAGAGTGACATTTGTTTAATGAAAGCCACAAGTATTCAATTGTCAGCCTATTCCACGTTAAACAGAGATGTTTCCAATAGGATAAAACCTATTTCTGGGAGCTTTATAACTTATATATAAGCCTGACTTTTATACACCTTAAGTAGAAGAGTTAAGCATAGTGTTTCTCCTCTATAACATGCATTAGTGGGCATCTTCTGAATACAGTTATTCAGTGGTCTCACATGGGCTTCACCTGAAAGCAGGATAGTGAAAGGAAGCAGATGTGTGTGGTGCAGACCGTGGAGGACAGTGGGACAGGTTGGTTAGAGCTTTCTCAGATCTTCCATCAGATCACACACGCTCCAGCACACTTATTAGCACAAGTTGTTCCAGAAGAGGAAAGTGAAAGTAGGATTACCGAAAGGCAAGGACTGTGGGATCATTCTGGAGCAGAAAGATGAAGGTGTCAGTCTTTAAATGAGGCATTTTCAACTAATTCAGTTCTTTGGGGCCACGCTGATCAGCTGTTCAGAGAAGAGAAGGATAAGGGAAGATGTGGCAATTCCCTGAAAGCATAGGAGTGGGACACACTGTACTCCATTTCCATTATGGCTAGGAGAAAGGAAGGGTTCAGACTGCAATAATGGGTATTTAGAGAAGAAAACATTCTAGTGATAGGGACAGTTACAGGAATAGACTGGGTAAGCATCATGGCACCACTGCAGGTCTTTAACAGCAGATCAGACAAACATCTGGCCAGACAGTCTGGCAGAGCTGGAGGTGGCTTAGGCAGACTATTGAGGTGCCATCCAGCCCTGTCTTCCTACAGCTTTAAGGGAATGCCACTCAATGGCAAATGCAAGTTTGAGGCTAAACTCTGCTACTTATGCAGCTACACAGAGGTGCTCCACTGGCTGCAAAGATGAATGAATAAGTTTGTTTGGTTTGATTTCGCTTTTTTAAAAAAAAAAAAAATTATACACGTGTGCTGTGCTGTTCAATAGGTCCTCAAGGACAGAAAGGTGAAACGGGCAAGAAGGGGGACCCTGGGCCCCGTGGGCCAATGGGTCCTCAAGGACAGCAGGGAGTCCCAGGACTGCAAGGCTTCAATGGTAAGTGCAGAAGACACAGCACATATGAATGGTGCAGGGCTGCCCTACCTGAAGTCTGTGGCTAAGCCTCATTAGCACTGATGCTAGGATGTTGTTACAGGTAGCACGGGGGAGCCTGGACGTCCTGGGCAGAAAGGAGAGGCAGGTAAGCAGTACAGAACATGTAGTTTCCTCTAGAAATATGATATTGGTCTTTTTCTAGATGCTTCATGACAAGGCTACATCCCAACATGGGTAAAAGATGACGATTAGATTAAAAAAACATTCCAGTGTCGTGTAAAATCATTCCACAGCCTTAGCTGTCTCATTTGGACCCTGCTTATTGTGCAGGAGAACGAGTGGGAAAGAAGGGTTCTGTACCATGGACTGTCATGTCCTCCTTCTTAACATGTGTGCACACACAAGGACAGAAAGTGGCTGCTCTTATAGGACAGCACTCGTGCCTTTCAAGACTGACAGTCTGCAAGAACAACCTTTCACTCCAGACCACTGCTCACTGCACCACTAAGATTAGTGCTGCTAAGGAAGGATTGCAATTCTGAGAAACCCAGTGACTGTTTTGCCTTCATAGAATCAACTCAATCTGCATAGCGCAGGTGTTGGTGATTGAACTTTCTTTTTTTCTCTGTCATATGTTGTGTTGCATTTCATATCTGCTGCTTTTGCTCAACCTCAAGGTGTAACCGGACCACAGGGACCTCAGGGAATTCCTGGAATCGAAGGCAGACCTGGTCAGAAAGGGGAGAAGGGGGACCTGGGGCCCAGTGGTAGTCCAGGTACAACACTACTTAAACCTATAACTCACTGAGCAGCTACTCTGGTCTTACCTTGTGTGATGGCTTCACCCTTACTGATATGCTTTTAATTTCAGGAATACCAGGCATTCCAGGACTCAGAGGTGAAAAGGGAGACAAAGGAGTACCAGGTAAAGGAGAATAAAAGATGTTCGGGGTCGACAACATGCATCATGCAGACACTGAAAAGGGGTCTGCAACTTGAAGGACATTTATTGAGTCCTGTTCTTGGAGCCCCAACACATCCCAGGATGCCATATTGGTCCTGGGCCTCTGCTGGGGTGTTAGCTGTTCACTGGAGGGGTTGTTTCTGTAAGATGAGCAAGGAGGTGATGTTGCCTACATTTTTGTGTAAATAGAAAACGCACAAAGCAGCAGTTTAAGATGAACCAAAAAACAACCTCCCTGCCCTGGAGTGAAAGACAAGTTGTACTGCCTATAAAGTTGATGGGGATGGGTTATTGACCATAGGAAAACAGCAAGCATTTGTCCTGGGCTCCTCTATAGCATTGCAAGAAGAGGTATATTCAGAGGCCAACTTAGAGCACATAACACAGGCCTTTTCTTTGACCTTCCATCTGACAAAGGCCACCTTTCTGTCTCAGGCACCCAAATGATAGGGTGACATTTTGCAGTACAAGCCTGTTCCCATGTATTTCTCTTGAATCAACCATTTTAACCCTGAATTTATGTAGTGTACACAGCCTCTTATCTCCATTAGGAGATGACAAAGGTCCAAGTGCTGCACCCTTCTACTTTCATTGATACCTGAATGATAGCGATAGGAGACACCTGGCCCAGCATTATGTGCTTATATAGGTATGATGCGCTTAAATGTACATGTCTAGGCTCTGTATACAGTAACTGAAGACCCACCTGGAGGAATGGTCTCTATCCCAACAGTGGAGTTTAGGATATGGAATAAATGACCGGAAGTTGATTGACTTCAGGAAAAGACAATTCTCCATTGCCTGTTTTTTCTTGATGGATGAGGTCTGCGCTGGGTATAATGGGAAATAAGACACCCACCTGAGAAATAGATGCCTATGGTGTGGACAGCTGAACTAGATGAGATGAAATCCATTATAAATACTAGTTTGCATACACTTTTATAAATGTATAAATATCTGTCTTATAATAGTTTTGTTTGTTTTGATGATGTTAGGTCTTCAAGGGCAAAAAGGAGCAAAGGGAGACCACGGCCCACCAGGTAAACCCCTGTTTGACAGCATAACTTAGCCTGATGATGCAAAGCACTTTAAATGTCACATTTCACTTCTCTGCATCAATGTGAAATGCTTGTCACGTGCCTTCCTTGGGAGGGGACAAAGTCAATGACTTTCTTGCTTTCCACCCAGGCAGCCTAGGCCTAACTGGTCAAAAAGGAAGCAAGGGTGATCATGGCAATCAAGGTACAAAAGGAGAACCAGGAGTAAAAGGAGCCAAGGGAGACCATGGATTCCCTGGTAAGTCTGTTTGCCATAGGGTCTGTGGAGCTGATGGTGCATTCAGGTTTGGGACTGTGTATCACAGACTGGCACAAGCATGTTAACAAAGCTCATTTGGAGGAACTCAGCAGACAGATCAGTCAGACAGATCAGACAGTTGTGCGAGTAAACAGATATATCAGATTTTCTCAAATCCCTGATCTCACAGAAAACTGGAACAAGCCATCCTCCTCTTTACTTGGTACAGAGACATCCTGCAGCATACCACACTGCTGGGATAAATCCCATGGCAGTCAGGAACACTGAATTGGAAACACCAGTGCTATTTAAGTATGCCTTTTTAATTGTAGGACACAAAAATAGTTCAAAAGGGCCAACACTGCAGCTACTCCCCACCCTTACCCCCTCCCTTCTGATCACAGAATGCTTCCACAAACCGTAAGATCATAATGTAGTAATAAAAATTACCAAACAGTAGTTGCAATAGACCATGTGAAGCAGCCAGTGTTACAGATGTTTTTTCTTTTAATTG